ATTTTTCTGAAAATATTTGTAGATTATAAATGGCGGAGAAGTTAACATTACACCCTGCTGCTCTCCTCGCTTATTATATTAATACTTAGAATGATACAATGCGAGAGGTGTGGAGTATACAGAATGTTATAGAATTGTAATCAAGTGTTTAGAAGCTATATATTTTAATAATTTATTGAAGTATAATGTCCATTTTGGATCATGTAGACCCAAGAACAGCAGAGTTAATGTTTGAAAATTAATTAATAATACAAAAGATCAATTCCAAGAAAGTATGTTATGTATGTATTATATACGTATTATGTATTACACGTAATACTTAATATATATTGGATACATATTATTATAAGTACATACACACTGTACATAATATAAAGGGTGGCCACTAAAAAACCGAAGGGTTTGAAAAATTCATAAAAAAAAAGTTTCAATTCATAAAAATTAAACACATAGTACTAAAAAAAATCTATTAATTATGTTTCCAAATAAAATAATAAAAAATTTAAAACACACGTGTTTGTAAAAATTATTTTTGTTTTACATCATTCAATGACCATCCTGTCATAATGTGTATAATATATAATATAATATATACACATTATGTATTATATTTATACGTAGGTTTACAGAACATTATTACAGAACAGTTACGTATTATTAATATTAATATTTAATAATATTACAATATTATTAATATTAATATTTAACATAATATTTAATATTACAATATTATTAATATTAATATTTATTAATATTACAATATTATTAATATTAATATTTAACAATATTAATAAATTTCCACTGGAACACGCGTGAAAGAAAAGTTTTCCAAACCGTCCGCCCTTTCTCTTCAAATCCAAGATTTTCTTGCAAACAAATCCTCCGCGGAGGAACTTTCTCTGAAAAAGTCATCCAACATTCCCATTGAACGTAAACAGCCTTCGCCTTCCTCCCTCCCCATTTCTGAAACTTCGCGGAACCTTTTCTCCAGGCTAAAAGTTTCATTACCGAGGGAAAGATGCTGGAAGAAAGGAAGATCGTATGGAGAGAGAGTTCACGTTTTTTCCCCTCGTTTTCTTCTTTTTCTATTATTGTTCGGTCAGCGAAGAAAAAAAAAAAAAAAAGAAAAGAAAAATCAATGGACCCTTTTTTCGTTCCTCCTCGTTTCTCGACGTAGTAGTCCCTCCTCGGAGTCTGCGTTGGATGGATCGATGTTTGGTCAGCCAAGTGTGAAACGGATCGAACGAGGAGAAACGACAGAATGATTAATTGGTCGCGATTATGGAAACGAATATGGCCACAGCTTTTCTGAAATTCATAAGCTTCGACGTTCCCCTAACTGGCTTGGTCATCGTTCGATGAGACACTGCGAAGGAGAGAGTTCTCGAATCGAATGTTACTCTTCTTTCTTCCCGTAAATCTTCGTTCATGTATTCTATAAAAAAAAAAAAAAAAAAAAACAGAGAAAAATCATTCAAGAATGAATTTAATCGTTTTGACAACTGACTCCTCTTCGTTCTATCTCTTCTCTTTCAATCTTTCGATCTTTGACTCCCATCAAACTCGATTAACTCTTAAAGGCCGTGATATGTCTTTGTGCAATGAAACCTCGTCGAGCAGCGTCATTCCTGAATTAAACAATCGATAAACCCAGGCAAGTGGAATTAAATTTCAATCGTTTGCAAACTATCGTGGCACGATGTTTCAGACGCTAGGGTATCAGACGTTTTGCCAGCTAACATCGATTAGGAGTTTGCTCCGGGTGAATCGTGTCCCGGGGAACGGTTAATGTCGAATCGCGGGCCACTGAACATCGTTCTCGAACTGCGTGCACACGCTTGAGTTTCCAGACCAACGACATCTATTTCGTGCTGGCACGCGTAAACACGTCGGGGCTATCGGTTTACGATTCGTTGAATAAAGGGGTTCGAGACCGGACTAATTTCGAAAGTTTTCTGTCGCCGATTAGCATAAAGATTCGATGTAGCTTCATATTGCTCAATTTTTCGCTTGTGTTATCTAACCTAGATTCGGAGGTGGTGGTTAGCGGCGAGGGAGAGGGACGTTGTTTCCAGCAGAGGTGCTTTTGGATTCTTTGAAGAGCGTGATTAGGGTGACGGAGGTGGTTAACCAACCTATTAAGGGGGCAGTATAGTTTGACGGGCCTAAAAATTACGAACACTTTGGAGGTCTAGTAAAACGAAAGTACGTATTTGATTGACATGAGCTTTCGTGATTTATTTTGACACATTACGAACTATAAAAAGCAACATTAAAAAAGAAAACAGAAAGGTGGGTAATTGATAGGGGAAGAAAGAGAAAGAGTTTCGGTAATTGATAATCTAATAATTAGTAATGTGCGAAATAGATAGAAGATTTGATTGATTTTTTGTGGGGGGGGGGGAGAGAACTATCGATTTATGATATTCTTCTTTTCTCAGTATTTTCATAGAACTTTCCATTCAATTCTGTCCAAAATTTTATAGGAATCCCTTCTCACCCTTCGATTTAGACAATCTCCACGTTATTTTCTCTTTGACTTGAAAAAAGCTTATCTTCGAAAAATAAATGTCGTTGAAAAATCTCTACGCGAACACGCGTGCTTCGTTCCGGGAAGAAGTCATTAAAAAATTGACGAGGATTGTATCGTGGAGCAAGCTGGAAACGAATCAAAGAGTCAGCTGCAGGTTCGGTCTTATTAAACAATTCCTTTTTCTTTCATAAGTTTATAGAATACGTGGATGCGCGTGCGTAAGCTGGCTCGATCGATGTGTGGAAATGTGCGAGCCACACAGAAACCACATGGAACAATGGAACTCTTTTTTTTCAAGTGTTCGCGATACGTTTTCCAATTTCGGTCGTTCTTTCAAGTTCGATTAAAAATGGTAAAAGAAAAAAAAGAAGTAAGGGAAAGGGCAGCTCAGAGAAGTATTCAAACTATTTGTGTTAAATACAGGAAACATTTTGGTATTATATATTACATTAGCAACGTAACGATGGTGACATTTGATTTGTCGTCGTTGGATATTCATCTTTGTCAAATTTATATCTCTGTGAACATTAATGAAGGATAGGAACTTAGATAGAAAGGAAATATCGCAACGAGTATTGCATTTCATGCACTTTTATGAGCCAGTGTTCGCTGTTCAAGTGCTTGAATATATTTAGAAAATCGAGAATACTGAAAATATTCGCACCAACCAGAATACCGGGTATAAAATCGTCAAGTTACACGTCAGCCATTTAAACAGACGGATACACTCGAACAGTCATTCTATATCCATGGTGTTCAAGTGGCTGCGTGCTCGATATCGGTAAATTTATGCGGTCGTTAAGGGGTAACTAGCGCATAATTGATACTCTACCAAAGTTAATATGCCTAACGTCAACTGGAAAATCACATTACGGCCGTATAGAACGGACGGTATTTAAAACGGCGACCAAACAGAATTTTTCCAGATTTATCCCTGTTGTGTGAGGGACTGAAAGTTCATTGCGTTCCTCTGTTGTATCCAAGCTTAAGTTGGGATTTCCTATAAATTACACGCATTTATACCGACACAATGGAGAACCGTGTAACATGCTTTGTTCAATTGACAAAATTTTTCTTACATTAAAAATTGTCCACCTGTAGCTGAATTTGGATATTTCCTGAATTAAAAGATGCATCGTCAATTGCTTTTCCACAATATCTTCTTTATCAAATATTAGGTTAAGTTGCAATTCTAGTAAAAGGGAAAATAAAGAATGTATTGTTTTTTTGATAGTACTTTCTTTATCAGATATTAGGTGCAATTCATAAGTCTGATGCAATTCTACTAAAATAAAGAATTTATTGTTTTTCCATAGTACCTTCTTTATCAGATATTTAGGTTAAGTTGCAGTTCATATGTCTGATGCAATTCTAGTAAAATAAAATAAAGAAAATCAAGAAAATAAAGAAAATAACAATAGAAAGACGAAGACATAATATTTCATTATAATCGGGGAAAATTCAGACGTATAGGCATTGGCGCATGCGCGTTAGAGACATGCGCATTGGTGCGTGCGCGTTACAGACGTACGCGTCAGCGCATGCGCGTCAGATTCGCCTATCTGGCGCGAATGCAACGTTTGAAAAATCCGAGTCGAAAACATTTGTCCTCAGGGACGATGTACACAGCACAGTGATTTAATACGCAGGTGTAACAACATAAGTGTAAGTCCTTGGAAAAATTTCGACAAATTCTTATTCTGTTTCATGTTCGTCACACAATTTCCTTGCTTATTCTACTTGTTTGGAATAATGAATTCCAAGCTACGAATATGTCAGTCGTACTCGTGAAATTTTTATCACTTTCGAAATGTTGTTATTAACGAACTGACGATACGCGAAGCTTCAAGATACCGAGTGTATAGGGGATGGCAGAGTGCACGAAAGTAGAATCAATCTGTCGTAAACTCGGCGGGTCTGTCCCGTCTCGTAAGGTGGGTGTGAAATTGGAAAGGCAGTTAACCAGAGAGGGCTCGTCAAGAACGTTTAACGACGGTTTACGTTTGAAAATACAGGACCGTACCGACGGCAGCTAATAAACTTTGAGCTTTACGAGTCCGTACTATTTTCATTTTTTTCTTGTACCACTGTTGTCCTTCTTTCACATTTCTTCCTGTATTTTCATTTTATTCCACGTTATCTCGTCGAAAAACAACACGACGGTAGTAGAAGAATTAACCATGTATATTATATTATTAACTATATATTATCTTATGTATATTAATTAACATATATATATATATTTGAGTAACGAAAAAAAAAGAAAAGAATAAATGGTGGCTAGATCCGTTATGAAAAAAGAAAAAAAAACTATATATTATGTTATATGCTATATATTATATATTAATTATAATTAATATATATTAACTATATTAATTATTAACTATGTTTCCTAAATTAATTGTTAATAGTTATCTAACTGTTTCCTTTTTTATTTTATAGTATCTTTTCATTTGGCTTGTTACAGAGATCTAACAAGCAACAACATAACAGACATTCCAGCCCGTGCCTTCCATCGAACATTCAATCTTGAAGTGTTGTAAGTACCTAGAAAAAATAATGATAAATAAGTGCAATAATGTATCATGTACCTTTCTTTAAAACGTTATTCCTTTAAAATCAAGGTAGATATTCTTCGTTAAAGATTTCTCTGTTGTTCTCCTTGCACGTTTCTGTTATCACATTTTATTATATCTCTTTTTCAGATTGCTTCGACGAAATCGTTTGCACATGATCGCCGACGATGCATTTACGAACTTAACGAGCCTTCGAGTATTGTGAGTGTTCTACAAATTCGCACGAAAAAATTCTTCCAAAAGAAAAAAAGAAAAACGAGAAAGAAAGATTGCTGTGTCCGTAATAAATTTATCACTTGAGTAACGAAAAGAAAAATAAACGGCGGCCAGACGATTCGTTATAAGAAAAGAAAAAAATTAAAAAAAAATAAATAAAAAGGGATTGTAGTATCCGCGATGTTTAAAATGTTGTAATTCTCTGTCTGCTTTTGTAGGGAGCTCGATGACAATTATTTAACAAAAATTCCGACCGCGATCGTTAAGCTCTCTGGCCTTGAAGACCTGTAAGTGTGCATCGATTAAGTAAAATGTAATTTGACAACTTTTTTTTATATTCTATGAATATACTACTTCCTTATCAAGCCCCCCCCCCCCCATCAGGAAATTTCATCGTGATTTCATCTCGATAAAGAGGCTTCCCCTGAATTTCACCTAATTTTCGCTACATTTTTCTCGACTTGAAATTTGTCACTTTTTCGAGTTATTTAATTCTCGACATTTCCTTAAATTTCTAGTTTGTAAATTTTCTACGAAGAAAATATCAGAATTAGGTAGAAAATGGAGCGAACACCATTTTTTTTTAACTTTTATTTTTACAACTTTTATAAATTATAATAATAACGTACATAATAAATGATATACGATAAAATTCTTTCGACATTAAACGAATATCAGAATTCATGCAGACTGATCCTAATTTTGTTAAATTCTTCCCCTAATTGTTCTATTCTTCTTCTTTCAAATACACGTTGAAAAAAGAGTGAAATAAAATAAAACAGAAAATTGTTAAATAGTAGAATCGCGAAACAGAGATGTCGGTCCTTTTGTTCCGTTTTTACCGAAGGGAAGGAAGCCAAGAAAGTCGTATTCGTGTATGTTCCGTCGGTTCCGTAGGTCCCTGTCAAACAATCGGATCGAAACTCTGGAGGAGCATGTTTTTCAGCGCGTTACTAATCTATTGTCGCTCGATTTACGCGGAAATCCCATCAAAGAGATACATGGGAACGCTTTCCGGAATCTACGCAAACTCCGTAAACTGTGAGTATAGATTTTCATCTGTTAAATGTAATGTTAACTCCTTGCGTTGGCAATTGGTTCGCGGACCATAACGAGTGACCGAACCGTATACAACAATTCGTCGCTTTCTTTTTCTTTTGACTTCGTCGGTATAACATCACTGGATAGAAATTATTAAGAAGTAATCAATTTATCATTTGTTTTGCCTGGGTTACATTTAAACATACTTAAAACTGAGAAAATGTTGCAATTTTGGGACAAAAAATTCTCGACGTGCGTGGCACGTCATTCCAGCGCAAGAGGTTAATTCTTGAAACTAAACTCTAGTTATAGTACGTAAAGATCAGACACTTTTCTGTCAGAGATAATAGAACGTAGAAACGCGTAGATAAGATGAGAAAATTATTAGAATTTTTGTAGCCCACCTTCGGATTTAGGCTACAAAATAATTCGAATATAAATATAATATAATACAATTATAATATATTTATAAATTATATTATAGTATATAAATATATTTATATATTATATTATAGTATATTTATAATAAAATATAATTAATATAATTAGAATAATTAGAATTTAGATCTATTACTAAGTTTATGGTATATCTATATAGACAGAAATATAACAAAGGGATTATTTTGTTTTAGGATCCTCTCGAATCTGAAAGAATTACGGATATTTCCGAATTTAAACGGAACGAGATCTTTGGAAGTGTTGAGGCTAGATCGTGCACAAGTGACCAACGTCCCGATAAATTTATGCGAACAATGTCCAAAGTTAAAAAGTCTGTAAGTAGATTTGAACAATGAGCGTATATCAGGTAGTTTTATTCGCCTGAAACGATACTCTGTCGTAATGAATTAATCGAATGTCGATGCAGTATGATTCGTAAATTAAATTATAACACGGTGGAACGTTGATGAAGTTAAACTGAGATATAAATTTGTCAAAATGTCCGATGCATCTCGGACGAAATTATGTTACAGCAATTAATTTTATATTTAGATTTAGCCCGACGTTAATCCTAAACAAAATTTCACCGTGAATTAATACAAAATGGAATTTCAATTAATTTAAATTGAGGACTCATGTTTCATCGATAATTCATGCTCTCTTTATCAAATTGCATCCTAAATGCAATTGCATCTTTGTCAAAATTATCTTTTTTTTTTTAATTAAATTAACATCAATGTCAAATAATCTAGTATCAAAATCGATTTATCAAATTTATTATTACTTTTCAGTGACGTGAAATCAAATTTTCTAACGGAGGTACCAAATTTACAAAATTGCAGCGAACTGAGGGTTTTGTAAGTATTCAAAGACGAAACACATAGTCGAGAAAGCGAACGTGACTCACAATGTTGATCCCAAAATTGTGTTATTTATCTTATATATAAGGAGGGAATTCGTTCGTTTCCTAGGGACTTGGCCAGTAATATGATCCCGTCGTTGCCGGATGAGTCATTCAAAGGTCTGAGCATGTTGCACGATCTGCTTCTGTCGAACAACAAATTGCAAGTGATCCCAAGCGGCGCGTTCACCGGGTTGTCGAGGCTGCAGGTGTTGTAAGTGTCGTCGCCTGCAATTAATCCCCCTTAACGTCTGCCGTTACCGTCTTGAGAAAGAGAACTTTACGATTTCAGGGATCTGGAGAGTAATTACATCGAGTATATTCACCCGGACGCGTTTAAAGAGATGAAGCATTTAGAGGATCTGTGAGTGTCAAAGGAAAGACACCATTCTGAGAAATTATATTTTCTAAGTATAAAAGTATAAATGAGTGTCTAAGTATATAAAATGACTTTTACACCGTGAAAGCTGGAATTCTATTCTTTTTTTCTTTTTTTTTTTTTTTTAACAATTTCTCTTTGCTGATATTTATTATTGGTTTGTTACGTTTCAGAAATCTTGGGAACAACGTATTTCCAGCACTGCCAACGTCGGGGCTGTCAGGCCTATTGCACCTTAAAACGTTCAACAATCCAGCATTGAGAGAATTCCCGGCTCCCGAGAGGTTTCCACGCGTGCAAACGATGGTATTGTCATACGCTTATCACTGTTGCTCGTTCTTGTCGATAGAGGTAGAGGATCCGGTGACCAAATCCTCCGTTCAAGAGTCCATCTTTTTCCCTACTGACAATGACTTCGATATGAGCCTGTGGAACTCAAGCTTCACCGATATCTGGCCACAGTTGAGTAAGTAATCTAGTTCAATCGACTAATTCCCTCGTTGTGATCCTTGGAGCTTTCACGGTCTGGATCCTTCAAGTTGATCCCACTGGTTTTAGATCTCTACTTGCTTTGTATTTACCATTGCTCTTTCAAGAGATATTTCCTCATCTTCTTATTAATGTTACAATTTGTTTAACCTCCAATAGGTTTAACTTCAAATGCAACTGAAGGTTCCTCCAACTGTTTTTACTCATTGCCACTAATCATCCTGCCACGGCACCTCTCACAAAATACTACACTAACTGTGTGTCTTATCGATATTCAACAAAGAAAAAGTAACAAGTTTTCGGTGATCGCTATTTTTGTTGAAATGTTTTAATAAAAACGATGAAGATGTCTGTATTATTATTTTGTTCGAAAGAAATTGCTGCACTGAAATGGCTTTGTTTTGTTAAACATTTAGCTTGTTACATTTTACAGTTTGTCACTCGACACTGAAATGCTGCAAAGCGTAAGCCGCATAAGTCCATTTACGTTGTTGCAAGTTGATGAACAGATTTCGACGCTCGAGGTTCAAACGCTTCAAGGCGAAAGATAGGACAAAGAGTTTCATTTGAAACAAGTTGCACGATGTTTCGACCATCATTCACGGTGAATCTGACATTCACTTTACAATTAAGAACATTTCTCTTATAGTTTCTCGATAGTTTAGATCTGTCATTTACCAAATCGTTAAAGAAAAAAGAAAAAAGAAAAGAATCATAAGTTCACGACAACACACATTCTACCACGCGAATGGATCATCCAAATATCTCTCTTCAATCATCGACTCGTTCAAATCAAATCAAATAAAAAAAAAAAAAAAAAAAA